GACTCTTTTCTAATTTTTGCTATTTGAATGTATTCGTTCAGCACTATAAGGACACTTTATTCAATAAATTTATTTCGTGTACTATGAGGGCCTGTTAGAACTCTTCGCGGCTCTTGCGGTTTTTTTCTTAAAATATCTTGTTGCTTTCTAGCAACTTTCTTCCGAATTCGGAACAATACTCATGTCGTTAATTTTAATTCCTCCAAGTCACCACAATCCTCCATGTAAATTTTACATGTTTTGTCTAAAGCGGTCACTCGACTCTCGAATATTTGTAGAAATCTAACGATTTGAGCATATCATTATCATTATCATTTACATTTCAGTGTTACTAGGCATGGTGAAAGACGATCCCATCACTGAGGTTGGATGATAAGCCCAAAGAAAAGCGTTTGAAGAAGAAAAAGAAGAAAGTTAAAAAGTCTTCACAGGTAGAAACATCTTCCGTCCAAGAATCCTCGACAACTTCTGTCACAGATGACGAGATAAAATGTATGTGAATAGTTCCACTTGATGGTTTGATGATCTGGAAAACCTTGTCGGCTAGCCCTTCATAAGTAATTATAATAAGTCACAGTTTAAAGGTTAGGTCAACGAGCCGCTACGATATTGGGAATAGAACAGGTCCCGCATTCCGTTAGATATTGCTTAGAAGGTTGATCCTTTTTCCTTAACATGCCTGGTAGAAGCGTAGATGTAATCCAAGGGAAGTTGTGAAGGGCAGGTTGTACAATCAAATGGTGTTTTTGGGTTGAGACAGTAGAAGTCTTATTATTTGCAGCTGTACTGTTAGCGCCTACTTACCAAAACTATTTGCGTATTTTCAGATCTTCGCTATTCCGTAAGCGAACGCTATCCAGCACCACGGCAGCTGTTTCTGAAATTCGACAAGTCTAATGAGTTTTCACTCATTGTTGGAAATGTGCCAGCTTATCTGCCAAAGGTACTCGGTATTTGTCTCGTTTCCTTTCCCTCCCTCTTGAACACAATTGTTGTTTCCTTTTATGGCTCTACCAATCTTAAACTAATGACTGGTCTTCTACAGGGCTTCGTTGAAGGCTTCTTAAAGCAGTTTGTTCAAGTTCCCATTACTGAAGTCGTCGAGCAAAGGAGCAACGCTCTGGACGGATCTCTTAATCACGTGAGGATACTTGACTTTTCCTACAGGAAATTTTACATCTTCGATTGACGAAGGGTGGTTCAGGGACAACTCACCTTATCAGTGCGATTTGAAGATCCTAAAGGCGTCAGCATTGCGCTCTCCCAATGTCAAGATGCCGGGCCATTTCGAGTTTGCGATTTCGTCGACCCTGAAGTGCCATCGGTTCTGCAAAGTAAGACCAGCTGGTTTTACATTGCACAGTTTATTTCTATAAATACTCTTCACTATTTTTTTTGCCTGCATG